ATTGTTATACACATGTAGGCGATCTAGAAATGTCTGTGATTACAAAAAAAAAAAACCGTTATAACTGTAAATTGACGTTTATATCGCGATTTATGTCCACAGCCGGCCAACTCAACGTATTATACAGTGGGCTGTGACTAGATGAAAGAGTGCAGGAAAACAAACATAAATTCCACCGAGCACCGCAAGATGATTGAATTATCTAATTGACTTGTTTACATTCAAGCCTTTGTGGGTCAACAAGAAGCAGAACCAAAGTGCTGATTTTTTTTTTTTAAGAAAAGGATATCACGGCGTCTGTCTACACTGTGCAGTCAGACTGGGCTATGAAAATATCTCGTTGTTACAAATAGGCAGACATTTACTTGAGCCACATCTATGCCGAATGGTTGTTGTTATTGAGATCGTCCGGCGTGCAAGGATGACTGGGTCGCCGTAATAGTCGTACATGGGCGCCTCGTAGAGGGGTGTTGATAAGCCGATGAGCTATGGGTTTGATCTTCTTTTGACGATATGGACAGTAGCAAAAATCTGTTTTTGAGAACATTCGATTGACCTAAATCTGTGCACAATCCTCCGCTTGATTATTTGAAACGCAATCCGCAATCTCTGTCCTGCAGAACGAACCGTTCAGCGATCGTTAAAAGTTATTTGAAGCACAACGCATTCTTTGTTACTTGTTATTTGAGGATGCCTTGTTATTCCTAAAATATTGATTTAAACTGTAGGCTCAGAAAGAAGAGCTTTACATATAACTTTCCATTAAAGCATTTAGATATAGCAAACTTTTATGTCGCTACGGGCTGGCAATGCTCTAGTGAGTCGCACAGAGATAAATCAATTTCAAATGACAAAGATCCACGCCACTATATACTTTTATATTTTTGCCTTATTTTAGTTTTTTTTTTTCTCCTAGATAAGATACAAACATTTTAGAAAGGGAGAATGAGTTATTACTATCGCAATGGCAATGGGATACATTAGCACAAAATTAAGATTATATTAAAGCTATTAAGAGAAACGACACCAGATGAACTCAGGTCGTCCGGAGCGTTATTTTAGTTGCTGAAAGTACATATAAAATAAAGATGATTTTTAACAGCGAGCCACGTTGTCGATAGTAGTAATAATGTGTTATTCACACGCAACCTCGTAACCTGCAAAATATTAGAACTAAAATACTGGACGTTAAAATATGATTCATAAAAAAAGCAGGACGTTGTGAAAATACCAATAGAATATTACAATACCTATAAATCCAACCTACGTAATGATGATTTTTTTCCACTGGATAATAGTAAAATAGTTCAGTAGTTGAATGGGTCTATCCGTCTTCTATGAACTGTTACTATGTTAAGATTGTAGTCCATTAGGCTGACTGAGAGACGACGGGCATTAAAAGCGGCACTAGAGCGCGGTGATGGCGTCGCACTCTTCACGAACATTTCGCAGTCCTTTAACATCCACAGATTGCCCTTTTCTGCTCTCTCTCTCTATACATACATGTATATATAAAATTTGCCGTTATGCATGCATGTTATGGCATGTAATGGTTGTTTTTTGAACCTTCGCTATGCTTGCATTTATTAAGAAAGGGACCAGTTACCTCTTACTAAATATGTCTTCCAAGCACCTATGTTCTCCCTCAATAGGTTTAGAATTATTATATTCCATTTCATTCGGCAGAAACCAGCCTTTTATGTAGGTTTGCTCGTTTATAGGTGGCACCTAATCAGATCTATTTTCAGAAGTAATAAATTTTGGCTTTTCGTGACACACCTAAATCTTTTAGACGCGCCGATCTTATGCTATGAATGAGACATTCATGCGAACGATTTGTTAATAGTCGATCCATTTTCAGACCTCCATATACATCTTGTTACGATGTGTACAAATAATACGTAAATTTTTAGACCCTATCGTTACATTCGGTCGACGTATCGAATAAATAGCGGTTGTGTCAGTATTCGTACGTTGTCTTTACAGTATATAAACTATGATGGCTCACATTAAATACGACAAACTTTAGCAAGAAACTGATTTTACCAAAAAAAATTCCGTGTGGCCTTTCGCTACCGTTCGTACAACAGAGTATGCCGTGTCGAACAAAAAAGTATCTATGGGCTAGGTTCCAGTTTCCGAACTGCTGCTCCTTGCTGAGAATCGCTTGCTCCATAATCCGTGCTACATAGATCTGAACGGTTGTGAAGATATAGTGCAAGGCCTTAAGTATAAACTATATATCAATGTCTGAAAAAGTTTTCCAGCCGCCAAAGCTTCATCGGGTCAAAAGTTGCTACAACAAGATTACTTTGAGCTTTTCCTAATTCTTCCAAGGCCTTTATTCTGTCAATTTTCAGCTCAATTCGAGAACTTAAGCCAGGCCTTTGACATTCAACTGTGTTTCTGAAGCGTGTAATAAAATGCTTCTTTCAGATCCCATCAAATCTTCTTCGATACTTCTGATAAGGGTTACCCGGATGAGTGTGACTATGTAACGCTGAAGATTGTTTGTTAAAGATTCACCCTTGATTCTTTGTACAAATTTTATGCCATTCCCATAATATTAATGACATGCATTTGATCAAGAAGTTAGCCGCGTCCTGCTCATTGAGCTCACGTGGGATAAGTCTTTTTCCTTTTGTGTACTCCCTTATGCAGGTAGATGATTTTTAACAGCAATGCAGCTCACTGCTAAGTGATCACAAGGCTCTTGTTGTAGTGTGTGAATATTTATGTAGCATAGTCCGTAGTTCGCTGTCGTCCACTTCTTGGAGTAGCCTGAAGTTTGCTTTACTCTTTAAACAGAGATAATGCGTTACAACGAGCTTCATCGAAAAGATCGCACATCTCGTTTTCTTAGTCGGATTTTCCCGGCCGATAAATAGCCAAGAAGCAGGCGTCCAGTATGGACGTCGTCAATAGCATGACGATCTTAGAGGAAGCTACTGTATATAAAATTAGCCAAAGAAATTCTAAATAGTGCAGATAAGAAGAGCACCACATTTTATTTTAAGCAGCGAAATTAAATACCTTTTACAAGTAGAAAAGTTTTAAAGTTCTTTCCTGCTGGACATGATCTTATGCACCTTTCAGAGCGCTTCCCTAAAAAAAGCTCAATTTATTCTCACTTTCTACAGTATAGATTGCTGAAGCAAACCGAAGGCGATGCTGTGCAAAGAGCCTGCACGTTATCATGGATACACCAGTTTAATAATAGATCGGTGTTCACACTTAACACACGTTCAATAATGTTAAAATCTCTCTTCTGGATTAATATGTCCTTAAAGACTTCATATATGTATATATTTTGTTCAGTCCTGAAAAGGTTTTGGAAAAGCAAGCTAACCGACAACCAGTGGCTCATCATATTATATAGTGGCGCGGCGTAAGGGTAAGCAAATGTCTAAATAAATTATTTTTGATTATTTTTAACGATAGCCATTAAATATGATCTAATTTGTTTCCAAGCAGCAGCATGTAATGCATCCAATCGTAGAAGTAGCGCAACCTCTGTGCCCAATAAATAACCAAACTATCGGTCTTTAAAGTCACCATAGTTGTATTATTTATCTTACTTTTACAATTCGTTTTTTAGCTTCGGTTTTAATTAGTAGGCCAGTTAGATGTGTTTCAACTAGGGAACACTGTCTCAAGCCGTATATATATATATATATAATGCTCTGACTAAATTCGTTCAAATTTTAGCGGGCTGTTTGTCGTGGCGAGCATGCGTCCATCCTCCAGATCTAACACTGAAAACAACTAGTTCTTTCTAGAACAAAATGACTGAATTATTATAACCAAAGCCAGTAAGCCGTTTCGCTATTTTAGCTAAAATCAACTATATCCAATCTCTTCATGCTTCCTTTTGTTTGCCCGGTCTACGTTATTGCCAGTCTTCATGCTGTTTCTAAAGAATCCTGAGAAGATTTCCTTTGATTAAATTGGAATATGAGTTTCCCAAAAATGTATTAAAGTGGTTCAAAGGGCCAATTTTAATACATCTGGGCTTTTTATACAGAAATTAGCGGCATTTCTGAGGAGGAGAACACCAGCTGCTAATTATGCCGTCCAAAAAAGCTTTAACTTTCTGTCATTTCTATTTTTTTGATATGTTTGAATTTTTAGAGATTTTAGCCTTCTATCGGCCCAAAGTTTAACTCTATTGGATGTTTTTTGTATGTAGCGTAATTCGAGCGACAGTTCAATTTGATCCCTACCACTATTACGCAAGGCGCATCTAGTACTTAAAAAAATAATCCGTGGATTGAAGAATCAATAATGTTAAAATGGCTGGTGAACCGTTTAGACTTCGAATTAAAGCTGTTATCGCAGTACGTGGAAATTACGTTAAATAAACGTGACTGTCAGGATTGATACTTTTAGCAGATGTGGAAAAAAATGTCTGTTTTGTTCAGATAGAGCCTTAGGAAGTCCTTATAAGAAAAATTTTGGATTCAGATGAAAAATTGTGTATACTGCATTGTATATATTGGTATGTATACATGTATATACAACTTTTCCCTATTACTCTTATCTGAATAACTACTATTACAATACATATTAAAGGTTGCGCCTTACGTTAAAATTAGTTACCTGCGCCTCGTTATCGCCTAGCTATATTCATCTAGAAGCTAGGGGCTTAACAATAACAAAGGAAAATTGTCAAATAATAAAATGAGCGCATTACAGAAGGAATGAAAGAGTTTATAATTAGCTATGCCCCGTATTAGAGGAGTTCCACCGCACAACATGAGGATTCATCAAACTGTAATAATGTTAGAGTTTGTCATGCCAAACAACGTGTCATTGAACGTAAATTTTATAGTTCAAGAAAAAAGATGGTAAACTGTAATCCATAGTTGTTACAATAGGAGGTTAGCGGAATGGTGGCCAATCATCAAAGATTAGGTTAGCCTCCGTTCTGTTCTGCATGCACACCAAAATACTATGCATCATTTGATTTTAAAGTAACCATTTCTTCGCTCTGTTCGCAGAAAATATAATCTCAACTCAAGCTTTAGACTCAAGCTCCCATAAAACGCATAATAAGTTGTATAGAACTTGAACTCTGACTCGCATGAAAAGGCATGTCTGCGGTGTGAAGTACGCAGTAGCACGGAAGACCTGGAAGTAAAGGATCGCCGGTTTAAGTCAAGGTGGGCACATACAAATTAATACGCTTTTAAACTCGTAAATTTGTTACTAACATAAATTATTGTTACTAAATATCATTGCTACATACAATACGTTTCTCTCCGACTAACTGGTTCGAATGGCTCTTACTTCATCGATTCGCAAGATGTTTTCATTCTGAAGTAACTAAGTTGCACTCTTTAAATTATTCCAGGTCTTTGGGTAATGGCCGGTAGCAATGAAATTTCTTTTATATGTTTTTACTATCTGTGTAACTAAAGTTACGGTATATGGAATTGTGAGCGATGCATTGCCTTTATAGACGTCAGCTTTAGTGCGCGGTGCCTATTGCGTATACCTAACCGACGCAGAATATCTAAAATATGACAACCTAACCAATCCTTCATGGATTATTCTAATATATAGAATTAATCCATCTTTACTGCTTTTGTAGACAATTACACTATTAATGAAATTTCTCTTACGTAACGAAAATGTTGTACTGTACATACCATTAACAGCATTACTAATATTTGCCTTAGAATTTAGATTTAATCAATAAGCTTATATTTATAGAACTTATGAAGGTTTCTCTATGAAGTTAGGCTATTTAAAAATGGTTGTGTCGACGCTCTGTTAGTGTTCCGCTATGAATGAAACGAGTTGACTTTGAGACCCATGAATTTCCGGCTCTGAGAAGGCGTTGACAATTTAATAATATGCAACATTATGTGACGATAATGTACTACGAGGAGCGTTGACCGCACTGCATCCCAAACAGAATACTCGATTCATAGAGGATAAACACAAATTTAGGTTACTGTAAAAGCTAGAACGATACCTTTCACCTTCTCGGGATGATCCTACCAAGCTATCAAGAGGTTCTTTGAGAGAGACACACCTTGTTTTGCCACCATCTAAGAACTTTACTTAGATACGTTACTCCTTGATAATATTATCTTATTTGAATCCTTATTCCAATAACGTATGTCCTCGTATGATTTGTTAGTCGTCTGGTACACCATACTGTTCCATAAGTTGTCAAGCCCTAAACAATGAAAATAAAGCTGACAGAACTCAAAATACATTATATGGAGTAAAGCAGCACTATGTGAGATAAAACTTGGACTAGGACTGGAGTTTTTTTTAGAAGATAAAATCGAAAAGCTTATAGAATTAGTTGTTTCTGACTATATATTAATAAATTATTCAATCACAGACATCACAATCAAGAAATCACAATCATTTGAACGATAACCAATTCCGATACAACAACTAAGCTTTCAAAAATCTAATCTCTATAGCAGGAAGTTAATTTTATAGGCACAAAATGTTTATTAGGTTTGAAGTACATGCGAACACTGATGGTTTGTTGCCTGACATGGCCTATAGTTTACCTTAGCATAGTTTACCTTAAGCTAACTGTCAACTTTCAAAAACATACTATTATTTTTTACGTTACTTGTTTTTTTAATGGGCGATTTTAGAAGAGGTACGAGGAAAAGGGCAATGCAAATACGAGTACGTGTAGGGATTACTATACTCATCGCCTTTCGTATTGTGTAGACTTTTACTAAGGGATCAACAGTATATTCACGTACAGATGAAAGAATATATTAATAGCCTTCTTTATTGCTTTAGTTCCAGATGAGTGCCAAGACCGTCCTACAAGCCATCCTGCTTCGCCTTCATATGTTTTCCTTTACTCCATCTGTCCTGTAACATAACGTGGTTAGCCTGTCGATAGTAGTAGCTCCTGATGAAGCCTTATTATATCATAGGTCCCTTCGGTTCGGAGGGACGTTTTCACTGCACTATCCGACTCGGGAGACTATAAGCGTTTCGACAATTTGTCAATGGTGGGAACATTGTAATCAAATTAGCGGGATTGATTTGCGGAACAGGCGCCATAAGGCTGTGTATCCAGATAAGGGATTTCTTCTTGTCAAGCCTGGGTGCTGTACATTATAACTTACCGTAATTTATCAGTTGCCTGGAGGAAAGGGCAATGTGATATTCTAGTATGAATTCAACTGGAAATAAACACTGGAAGTTCAATACCACTAGACAAACTACCGTTTGGTTTCACCTTAGGTATTTTTGGTTAGTTTTTTTTTATACAAAAAAAAATAGCAGACATAAAACAATGGATCACCACAAGGTTTCTGTCATTAAGCGCCCCAATTTGCATCGAAGAAATGCTCTCAAATCAAATAAGCAACAGTATGTCTTTTGCGAGGCGTTATAAGCTCCTAATTATATGCCTACGATACTGAATCAGTAGAAATATATTTTGATCCGTGTAAATTCCGATTGTGAATTGAGTTACTTGTAAGTGACGATGCGATGAGCCCATGGAACTGGATAGTGTCGGTTACATCGTGCAGCTAACCTTAAAGTTTATCCTTAATGATTATACAGAATAGAATTTCTTTAAATATAAAAGGGGTATTTGCTTCTAGAATAATCATGTTAATTAATAAAAAAAAAAAAAAAAGAAACAGTAAAAATAGGTTAAACAGTAAAAATCAATGTTTTTGCTCCATAGCTAACCTATTTGGCGTAAATCGGCCACTCTATCTGTATGGTCACGGAACGTGCAGTCTTCAAATGTTTGTTTTTTTTTATTCGTCCTTTTATATTTGTTCAAATCGCTATAAATTTTTTAACTGATTTTTCTTTTCCAACCTAAATCGACTTTTTTGGGTACCCGCTTTGAGTTAAGCCGGTTTTAAAATATTAAATGAATAAGCTCGTGTATGTTAACGAAAGTTGCTCTTTACATGTCAGTTGTGTTTTTGTTTCAGAGACCATCCACGATAGGGATCTTAACGCAAGGGCCACAAAAGCAGAAGACGCATGTACTACTGTTAGAGAACAATTTTTACATAAATGGCTAACAGAGCCGGGTTTAGTTACTGAAAGCGATATCAAACATAGTTCATGGATGCCACAACTAAAAAGCAGGGTGCTTTTCTAGCGATTAGAGGGTGGCGGACGGCCAAAAAAGAGCTGAGCGGAAATGATAACAGGTATGTGGTTTTCCAAGCGTGTATCTACAAGCGAGCGCAATAATATCCCCTATCTAAAAGAGAGTCGTAGGTGCGGAGATTTGTTAGCATCCGATCAAAAAAAAATCGACAGAAGATGTCGGCAAGACGACGGGATCGTTGACGATTAATTGCTTAGGTGATTACTTGTAAAGATTTGTGAAGTCATCTAGGTGTGAAATCACTAGCGCCAGGATCTTTCGAATCGACAGGTCGTCAACGGCCAGTTTACTGGTAAAATGCGGGGATCTCAAAGACCCTGCACGAATGCATCAGACTACGATGGAAACGGACGTGAAGGACTAAGATCCTAGTAGAGTAAAACACCACAACAGGAGAGTGAGGAAGAGGTGGAAACCAAAGAAGGCAAAGGCCTGAGGTTCACAAAACAAAGTAATTTATCGAAAGGTGAAAAGATGCATATATGACTCATTCTAGCAAATCGCTATAAACAAGCTAAAAAGACAGTTTCGTGGCTACCGGCGAATATGGTCGAGGAGAATGTCGCGTATTTCTCCCCCAAATAAAGGTCAAGAAAAGCAGCACCACTATCTAGGGCACAACTGACGATCAAGGAGGCCCTTGCGAATTAGATTGAAGCGGCGAGGTAGCGATGTCAGGCAAAACATTACGCCAAGACAAGGTCTCATTTGAGGTCGTTTGTATCTTAATAAAAAGGCGGTCTGGTGGCTTATAAATCGACTCTTCAACGACGGCCGGTTCCGCGATATGTGGACCTGGCCATGATATTCAAACCTAGTGAGGATCGCCTATAGCCCGACACGCCTTCTGAACACCGCAGCAACGGTCGTCGAACATGTAATTATTGTTAGGCTCAATATGGCAACTGAAAGAAAACAAGCGAAGTCCTAAGCTCAATATGGCTCACCTGAAAGAAAGTGCGCTGTTGTGGTTATGAAGAGTTTTTTAAAAACTGCATCGAAGGAGATAGAAAACTCCAAACACGAAACAATATGTTCCTCTGTATTCTGGGGTTTCATTTATGTAAACGTAGACTGGCGTCAATGCAAGGTTCACGTCTATTTTTCCTATGAAGAAAGGTTAATAGCTTTGTTGAACTAAGGTACTAGTGGTCTACATAAAGATTGTGTCTCTGTAATCGTCTGGGTATGCACAGATAACGACTAATACTATTATAAAAGTGAATTTGGCGGGAAACGTTTTTCGTAGATCTGGCTCGATTTTCAGTTTAATCGAAACTTGCTTATTTTCGTATTTGCTCCGCTGTTAGCTTGGCGGAGCTCTTAACATAAGTTGTTTATCGTTGTTAGGGTCACAAGGATTGGGCACGTATTTCTTACAACGTAGTATTGAATACTACGTTGTAAGAAATACATTTGTCCTAGTGGTAGCGTAGGGCTCCAATAATGATTCACTGAATTATGTACATTCTATGTATATTCTAACATTATATAATGAAATTCGGACGGGTGAACGTCGCACTGACTAAGTTAAATCGAGTTGAAAAATCATTTATGTACACAAATGGAGATTTCAGTGCTGTTCGATGCCTGCAGCTTCACTGCTCTAGTGAAGACGTGCCGCATTTATGCATAAGGATTGTGACAATGTGGACCACTGCAGCATATCGTGTGGAACAGGAAGCGAGCACAAGATGTTAGAAGCAGTGAGGTAGGTAAACTGTGCGCATCTAACGACCTGTCGATAAACCTGAGGAAAATGCGCATTATCTGTTTCCGAACGTTCTGCATATGACGAATGTAAGATTCTAGGCGTTCATTGACACAGAACTGTACGGAAAATAATTACGTGCATTAGTCCGTGCAAGGATTCACTCAATCCACCAACAGCCGGTGGCTAGACAAACTCCAAAGCTGCTATATGCTGCTATCTTTGTGCCCTACATATAACAACATGACTTTCCTTTTTGTGTGTTATGAGGAAAAATGAGCTCAGTATTGTACAATCATGGTCTGTATCTACATTAATAAAAAAAGGGCCGTACGGTAAGTAGTCTCAACATTGCAAATATCATAACATCTACGTGCAAAAAAATCGACAAGATTTGGGTTGCGGTGATTGACGTCAAAAACTTGGGGAAAAAATGCCCGCCCCACAGAGAACTGACGACATAGGAATGGTGCTCATTCAGGTACGTGGTAAAGAGAAAAGTCAACTTGCTTTTGAAGTAGCATCCTGTGCATGAGAAACTCGTCGCTGCCGAATGTTCGATGCTATATACCATGAACGATTTTAGACCTTAGCTGGACAACCATGTAGCTGCAATGGCAATCAATTAAGTTCTAGTAGTCGCTAAGTAATCGCGGTAATTATAGGCTTATTATTGCGTAAAATAAGTGCTTGTGTCTGCACACTGTGCATGAAGGTGTATATTTAACAATATATAAAAACGTTATTGTAACGTTTTTATTCATTATATTATTTAACTTAATTATTGTATTAATGGTTAAAAACGAGACTGTCTTTTCGGGCGCGGTAAGATAGGCGAGGAATTACGATGGTTCACAGGCCACTGCTAGAAAAATTACGAAAAACAATTTTTCTTACCCAGGTTACTTCGACTGCGCGTGATATATACCAGAAAATAATTCCCTTATGCTGCTTTGTTGAACGGTCAAGCAAGCATAATTCATTTCTCAAATTAGCAATGTTTTCTTTATGTAACATATCTAGGAAGGTCTTATACGAAAAACAACTTTAGGCAGCTAGATTCGGTTTTAAAAGACGCATCATGTGTACGTTTTGGCTAACAAGAACAATTAACCGGAAGAGTAGATGAGGTTAAAATTTCTGCCACAAATTTGCCTCTTGGAATTTTTGGCGGCAAGACTTCCATTGGTTTAAACGCCAACCATAATTACATGATAACTGTGAAAACATTAATCGTTTCTTCGCTACAAGATGTGTCAGCGTGACATAATTAGTCAACAACTTAAGAGCAGCCCTTTGCATTTGCCAGCAGTTAAGGAATGGTAAGCCTTTTAAAGCGTCATCATGCTACAGTAAGCGACATGAAGCGGATTAGCATGGGAGAGTTCCGGAGAGAATCGAATTAAGTTTTAGGGTAGCTAGCAATTGCATCGGCCATTTTTGTACTTGAACCCATTTCTGCTTGAATACCTGCCAGACTCGTTCTTGACTCGTCTGCTACTGAAAGTTGTAGAACGTGACATTGTTACCATCTGGGGGCTTACGTAGCTGGCAAAATTCAGTCGGGATTTCCCATGGCCATACTGGAGTTCTGCTACGTGATAAAGAGTGGCGCGCCATCGTTTCTTTGCGCTATCGAGCGTAGAAGCAGCAACAGGGACCTCCTCACGTGAAATATAATGGGATTGCGATAAAAAAGGGAACTCGGACCCTCTACTTGTTTAAGTGTTAATGTTATTGTCTTCACAACAAGCCATAAGGCCCTTCAAATTAAGTCCACCTAATAGCTTCAGCGGTATTTCGAAATGCTACGTTTTTATGTCATATTAACCCAGAAAAATCTAAATTTGCTACCGTTGGCGCTTTTTTTGCTTGAATATTGTCAGGAGTGGCTAAACGATAATGAATACGGCTTCGTAAAGGACCGTTTTTTAATGCAATGCTTTTTACTCCATTAATAAGTTATGTTGGGCCACTGACTTGACCATAGTTAGTTCCCAGCTACCATACCTAAAATGGAATTTGTATTTGACCATTTAATCTAATATACATTTGATTCCAATCATTTTTCTACTTTGACGTTTGTATCCTAACAAGCATTTTATGTCATAGTCGTTGCGATTTAGCACGTATAATATTGAATTTTACCGAGATAATTAGCATCATGAACATAAATACCTATATCTATTTGTCTATGACTTAACTGTTTCGAATTCAAAACGGCATTGATTCGAAAGTGGTTCAAGTGAACTGAAATCGTGTTGGCATTAAATCGAAAAAACCGCTGAGACACACAAAAGCAACTTTTCCAATTGCATATGCTGTTTTGTGACGAACA